AGCGGACACTCCCCCTGGCGTGTCCAATTTGGTGACAAATAAGGTTACAATCTTTCTCCCTCCTGCACTGTAGTTATTGCCTTGAACACAAGTCATTTCACTTGAAATCTTGTTACTTGAATCTACCATTTTGACTTTCAACAATGTTTTCATACAATTATTTTCAAATTTTGGAATGACATCATTTGTCAAGAAGCAAACGTCCCAACATTTTTCAAAGTAATTTCCTTCCTGTTGGTAGTGGTTATGTTTTTGGGTGTCGACCATGTTTCTCTGGAATTTACAAAAGTGTGAAGTATGTGGTGTAAAAACTTTAGCAGTCTCTTTTTTGTATGATTTCTCAGACACTTCTGTGTTGTTCATTTTTTAAGAATTTCTTCCTTATCCTGATCAAGGTTGTAAGAGATATCACAACCCACATACTTCAAATAACTAACATGTCCAGATTTTGGTTTCCTATTACTGTTGAAACTTTATCAACAAGAACTTGATTTTTAGTTTCTTGTCTTTGTCATTCGCCAAAAAATAGAATGTATACAAGAAGTATATCACATCTCTGACACCATTACTTTCCAATATTCTTATGATTATGTAATTCCCTTTTTTTAATATCTAAATTCATTTTGTCATATTTAAAACATAACAAAAAACATAAATTTTATTTATATATTCTAAACATGTTAAAAGTATTAGTGATATCAAACCACCCTACAATTCTCCTTTATACACAGGAATAATCATCATTGCTTTACAGTTTCTAACAAAACTGAAGGTCCACTAAGATGCTCAAGGGGTAGCACCAACTACGGATAACTCTCAATCATACATACTAGTGGTGGGAGATTATTCACTTACTTGTATTGCTAAGTGTGGTTAGGGGGCACGAGTAACTGTCAGAACAGAGGTTCCCCGATTATGCCACCAGCATTCAATCTGCAGGGTGGGGACAGTAGTAGCCTTAATTAACTCAGAAATTAAAACTTCCTAATGAGCAGAAAAAGGGTAGAAAGAACTTAAAAAATTATGGTGGGTGCAATCAATGTAATAGCTTTCCAGCCTTGAGGTGCAAAGTTGTGCGTCAATTTACAATCAACATTGTTAACTTGGCTGTCTGGTTGACGCCACGTCCATGGCAAAGGTGCTGACGTTTCGGACGCCATTGTGCGACCTTCCTCAGTGCGTAAATCGACCGAAACGTCGGCACCTTCGACATGGACGTGGCATCACCCAGATAGCCAAGTTATCACTGACTCCGGCTGCGGAAGCCTACGCTCTTACAATCAACATATACATAAAACAATCATACATGCAGAACTCACAAAGAATCTTTCAAAAAGCATAGAAAAATTACGATAATTATTAATCAATAATTTAAAAAAAAAAAAAAACGTATCATTTCAAACTGAAAAGACAATAAGATTTGATGGAGAAGTAAGACAAGCATCGTGAAGCAAATAAAAAAATATTACGCATGTTAAAATAAATTTAAATAGTTTCACCTTGTATTTATTATTTACATAAATGCAGTGAAACCCCATGAAGTTAGGTTCTTTTGGTTCCTTACAAGGGCATGTAATAATACAAGGAATTAAAATGAAGAATCTCATTAAAATAGTATTTTAAAAAAATAATTGCATAAGTTTCCTCTTTTTAATACTTTGCTAACTCAAACATAATGAAACACAGGATATTCTACAGCACTAAAAAAACAAAAACTTCTGGCGAAAGTTTCTTAGTTTTCCAAGTTACCATGAGTACACTGCTCTCCCCCATGTCATGTGTACTGAACAGGAATTGAAAGTGAGATCATAAGCACTAAAGGTGAGCATACTAACAACAATGTAACCATGTGATCAAGTTTCTGATCTTCTCCATAACCATAACATTATAAATTTTGGGGCAACTGAATTGAGCCACAAAGTTTACCAATAAACCAATAATCAAATAGTTGGTTTTCCTCAAATACTATAAATCTATAATGTCAGAAGTATTGCATAGAAGGCCATATTCTTTTTATGTCACTCAAATGGGGGGTCAACATAGCAGGCAAAAGGTTTAGTTAACTTAGTACATTTAGGATTCACCTCCCCTCTGTCCCAAAAATCCTACATAATACTGACCACGAATGAGGTGCCTCTATGCATGCAATATTTTTTTTCTCAAATAAATAATAACAAATTTTTATTAATATATCATTTTCTCTTAGTGCTGTCAAACTCCATGAAAAGTCGTGAGTGTCGAAATTTGTAGATTTTTTAAATTATCCTGTACAAGAGGGTTTCACACGCACCAAATTTTTTTATTCCTTTCATCACTACAATCAAAATTAATGTTAAAGTAACATTTAAATCCCAAGCTTAAGCAGAACAATAATTTTTAGGATATTCTCTTAGTATTAAAAATTCGTTGTGTCATAACAGATTTATAGAAAACAAAGGAAAAGTTGTTTCAAAGCAATTATAAAATTGAAACGTGGAACTGCATACGCCATTGGAAAAGAACAATATATTCACATATCAACCGCAATTTAATTCCTGAGGTTTTAAGTAACAACATTTTTTGAGTTTCTCAATTCAGCCAAAGGTCAAATGTAATACCCACGAAAATGGGTATTCAATTCGAACACCAAATAAAACTCATCATGTTACACATTCAAAAGTCTTTAAATTCTGTCCCTCTTCATGCAGCTCGATTCATGAATTTTGTGGATGTACATTTCCACCTCAGATAAAGCAGTCTGTTTCCGTACATTCATTGCATTCTGAGGAAACAAATCCCATAGTACCCATGGTTTTAGTTTTCATAAAAAATCATATGAATAATAAGCCAACCACATTATTCCTGCAATTCTCTTTTCACCAAGCTCAAAATACTACAAATGTGCTGTCTATTAATTTACAAATCAGAAGTTTTTCTCAAAATCAACTAACTTATTTAAGGATGCGAACATATTTACACAAAATACAAATATTTACAATTGCAACATATGTCATAGGGATTATGTTCATCATATGTCAGTATCAACAGTTCACTATAGAAATCCACATGTAATGCACGTTTGTTTGTAAAGAAAACAACTCGATGCCAGATGACATAACAAATAAAATCGATACACAAGTTTAAATGTCAATACTATATTTTTTGCTGGATTAATGGAAAACAAAGACTTAATTTTTATGTACACAACTACAACACTTGTCAAAAGGATAACCTACATGTTCCCCACCCAAACTACGCTTTATCAAAAATGTACCCTAATAGAGGGGATTGCACTTAACAACAAACTACACAATGATATTAAAGACATAAACACAATTCATGCATTTAAAAGTAAATTGAAAGCTTTCGTCCTTAAGAACATGATCTACAGTGTGAATGAATATTCAAATCACAAAAATATTTTCCTTAAAAATATATACAAATAGATCAAAATTTCTTATCCCATTTGATTTTCTGTTTCATCTTGACTATTTTGAATTGAAGCAATTAAAAAATAACTGGCAATTCGCGTCCTGCGATGTAGAAGTAGAATGCCTGACAAAAATTTGTTTCTCTCTGGATTTGCAAGATGCATTAGGTGCTGCAATAGGACTAGGTGTGCAAATAGAAAGAAGAAAAAAAAGTGGTCAAAACCTGCCTCCTCCTCCTCACCATTTCAAGTTTTAAATATAGAATGTATTAATATTGTTAAATTTTATGTAGTTGCTACCAGAATTGATATGTATTGTTTTAATATTATTATTATTATTATTATTATTATTATTATTATTATTATTATTATTATTATTATTATTATTATAAGTAGTAGCAGTAAAATGACAATAACAAGTAAATTTTTCTTTTACTTTAACAATGAAACAGTACAAATCTTGAAATGTTAAATTATTTGCTACTAAAAATAATTATATATTGTATAATATCCCAATCTATATGTAACAAGTATTGTAGTATAATTCCTAGGCCAATGACCCCATCCTAATCAGGTTTTTGTTTGGTTTCCCTGGTCCTTTGAGCAAATGCTGAGATGGCCCCTTGTTTCGCTCCTGAACAGTAATGTAACTTCACTCTCTCCACCTAAGACATCATATTGACTCGTCATACATGATTGCAATTGTATATGTGACTCAATAAATTATTATTATTATTATTATTATTATAACTTTCATTCAATTAGAGACTAAACTGACCGTTAAAAACCAACATGAGATTTACTTTCATAATGATATAAACACGCTATTTACACTTTATACTGTGTAATTCCTTTTTTTAAAAAATGCCCATAACAAATATTGTACTTCAGCTTCTGGGTTAGTTACTGTCATCACTACAGGGTTTTCATTGTTTTCCCTTGTCCTATTGAGCAAATGCTGATATGGGCCCTTGTTTTGCTCCTGGAGATAAATGTAGCTTCACAATGTGTATGTCTTGTTGAGCTCTTCTTTTGCTACTTGTGGCAGGAGTATGGTCATGGGTCTGGGTTGTTATTTTGGTAGCAATACTAAAAACTGGAATCTCTAGTTTGTCTGACAATGCAAATAAATTCCCTATTCATCATTCAAGAACATGTAGTAAAAGGGTGGAATATAAATTTTGGAGCTCAAGAAAACATGCACTTATTATAGTCCCCCACAGTCACACAGTCTAAACAATGCCATAACGTAACTCAGGCAAAATTGATTCCTTTTGATTGAAAGGAAAATCTAAATACAAAGCAAACAGATTCGATAATTACATTAAGAAAATAATAATAGTAATAATAATAATAATAAACTGGAAAAGTACAACAAATAAACAAAAATTTTAGCAAATAACTTATAAATTCCACACTCACTCTTACGTCTTGTCAAATATGAGTGGAGAAAATTTTAATTTAGAATATATATAAATTTTATTAAAAAAATTAAAAAACTGTCACCAGGTCCACACAAAAAAAAAGACACAGCATGAAACTACAACCACTTTTTACCAGGAAACAGGATACCCTCTATCCTGCAACTTACCTTTGGCCATATGTCCAGGAAACCAATGGAGTACATTTTTGTTGACTATTGTAAATGTAGTTCTAAATTGTTGAGCCATGACTACTTGAAACTTCAAGTAATGTAGCAACTTATTCCTAAAACATACATCCAATATTAATATATTTGATTTGTAACTTCTCTTACACACGGTACGCCTAAGTTGAACTATTCAATGTAGTAGCACATGACAAATAATGGAAAAATGATTTATTGAGTTAATCAGCTGTTTCAACTTGTAACATTTACAGCCAATATAATAATGTAAATTAAACATTTCTGACAATATGTATTAAGCGGGGGACATGCAATGACAGTTATCACAATTTTTACATTACATATGAAAATAATTCGTATTGCTATATGTTCATAATCACCTGTTGAAACCAATTATATTTCAGTCAACAGGAGATCATTTCAATTCACTAGACTTCAGTTTCACATTTCTAGTGAGGTTATGCTGAACATCAGAACATTCTCCAGCACAAGTTATTCATACCTAAATTGAGTGCAATAACCTCACTAACAATAATATTATTGCACCTTCATAAAGCAGAAACCCGTGTAAAAGTTATCTCTGCTTATTGCTCAATATATTCCTTACAACAAAGCTATCATTGTCATCTTGTCACTATACAGCAATCGTTAATAAAAATGTTAATGAAACATAAATTAATTAATATTTACATTGAGTAGATATTTCCCCAAACATTAAAGAAATAAACTGTATTACTTCTTTCCAATAAACCTTCATACACTTTCTGGGGTTACTGTTCACCTCGGTGATGTACATTCCCGAGGATACAAACAGATCTCTATCTTGCATGGAAACTAAGGCGAATTTCCTTACTTCAGTGGCCTCCTATTTCACACGAACGATTCTCAGATGGAATAAAATTCACGTGAAAGATTAATTGAGTAGGACATATACTATTATTATTCCTTATGAATTCTTGTTTGTAGAAAATCTGTACACGGAAGCCATTATTATGATAAGTCATGTCACGGAATAAAGTGTTTCGCGGTATATATGAATCACAATTGGAAAGAACAAAATTGCATAATTTTGGGCACCCCTTCCTATAACTACATTATTGATGACTGATTGGTTTCGAAATGAAATCTGTTCTTCAAAACTTAGATTTTAAAATAAAGTAATGCACAGCATTTTGAAAATAGTAGTTTCCCGAAATTTGGAGTAAAATCATGACAATTAAAAAAATGCATCTACTGGGGCACATGTCCTCGTATTATTTGTAACGGATAAGTAACATTATAATATTACAAATTGTGAGCCATTTCGTCAAACTTTCTCTGCAGCAAGAGAAGCGTAGGAGATTCGAATTTTAATATTCCAAAATTCACAGGTTTTAATAGAAAAAGGACTTAATGCATTTTGCTACACTGTAGGGAGAAAATAAAAAGTAATTTTACCCCAGCATTGTCGGAAAAATGAAACTGGGATATTAAATTGGTTGGTCAAAGGTAAAACCCTTTGACTACTGTAACCAATTCTATAGTTTAATACACGACACTGGAGAACATTAGAAATTTCTCAAGATTTAACAAACAATACTAAAAAAACAATTATTTGGAAAATTTATATAAAACACATTAAAGATAAATATTGAGGAATAGATGACATTAAGACAGAAATCTCTTGCTTCAATGTTCAGTTGAAGATCAGTTTAAAAGAAATTTAAAAAAATAATGAAAATTAATTTTCAAAATTTCAGAGGTTTTAATAGAACTTAGACCTATATCATATAATGCAAAATTTACTGTATTTGAGCAAAAATATTAAAAAAAAAAAAAAAAAAATTGGAGCCCCTTTTGAAATTGTCTTCTATACATATTTATACTAAATTTTCGTGATTTCACTCAAAATTACTCATATTTTCAAATTATTGCACATGTCTTTATTTAAAGATCTAACTTGAGAGAACATACAAGTATTTCATAAAGAAACAATTGACATGTAACAGATAGGTAATATAAAAAAGTTTGCAAATTGTATTTTACTAATTGTGTCCAATCCCATAAAACGGTACCTTAAGCAAAAGAAGAGTGAGAGATTTGAATGTGCAATTTTCGGAGATATACTACTTTTGAATGTTGATATGTTTCAATAAAAATCGGACTTCGTAGACGATACACGTTTTGCTTTACTAGAGGGGAAAATGTCAAAAAATGTTCATGACATCACGTAAATCTAAATTTGATGAATAAATTTCGAAAGTATAATAGCCGTCAATAAGCAACTACTGGTGCTAAACAGCACAAATGTTTTCGTATTATTTGTAACTGTTACGTTATCTATTATAACATAATTTCCTGCATGCTCACGATTGTAATATTTGCGATTATTTTTAAGGAACTCTAGCAAGATAAACTTGTTTCTTCGATGCATATTATTACTTATGATTTAAGGATATGCGACCAAAAAATATTTTTCGAATAGAACGTCTCCATGAGCAATAAAAAAATTAAAAATAGTCCGAGTCGCGCAAAATGTTTTGCATTTATGCTATTGGAACGACATCTGGTGGTACAATTCGGTAGTTTTTGCAGCGCGCAGCTTCAGTGGGTTAGATAGTCGTGTCAATTGGATTTGCAAAATACAACACCGAGTAGATTTTCCTTCATTGATTTTGTTTCGTTACCGAGTAGGCTTTCCTCTCTTCATTTTGTATGGCAGTTCTGGAATAAATCATCTATTTTACTAATTTCCAATGTGGGCAGAAGTAGAAAGGAAACTTTGCTGGCTCCGGCCTTTTGAAAGGTGTCTGGTTTCAAACTCAGGAACTCGGAAAAAATTCAAAAACATCTATGTATATTGCTGATTTCCCATGCGCACAGAATTTGTAACAAAACTACGCAGACTCTGACCGTGTGAGAGGTATCTATAATTTCGTTATGTACCCAGGAATTCCGAAAAAAAAGTTCAAAAACAATGTAAGAGTTTCGATTTTGTCTAAAAAATGCAAATATTTGATCGTTAATCCGCCCATTCTCATGCTGCATTTACCGATTTAATTCTCATAGTGCGTCACTGCTTACGATACAGCTGACGTCATGCGACAGCAAGGGTCCAAGGAAAAAGCCACCCACCATTAAATATTTGCTATCCACATGTTGCTGTACAAAACTGCAACTTTTTGGGTATTTTTGGCACATTCAGTGCTGTTGTTCTGTATATACATCAATATGTTATTGCAGTATTTGTGAAGACTGTTTTTGTTAAAATATTTGTTTTGTTGCAGAGCTATGCGAGTATTTTATTTGTAATTGTCGATAAATATAGAAACACAAAAATAAAACACAATATTTGTAGATTGGTGTCATTGCAAAGACTCCTAGAAACACAGTAGACCTATTCTGCTATGTTCACGCTGTTAAATTCCTATTACACAGTGTGCCAAAACAAACAATAATCAAGTATCACAAGAAGTAAATTGGATTCCTTCATGGGGCTTTGCAATCAGTTGTAACAATCACAGATAGTTGAAAATGACATCCGATGTCTTCTACAAAGTCCAAAGAAGTTTTTGCCAAAAAATAGCATTTATGCCATTTGTAGAAGCGTACGTTACTATATTTGAGCAACATTTTTAGAGAAAAACTTTGGATACAATGTTCAGAATATTTTGAAAATTTTATTTAAAATATTCCCCCTAAATTAAAATAAATGGTTCAAGTTTAAGGGGTCGCGACATCGGCCAGAACGATTGGGAAATATCAAACTTGATGAAAATGTGTTTAGTTTAGGTACTATAAGCTCAACAAGTTAGATATCTCCTTTCGTAGGTGAGACATTCATTGTATATGATCCCTTGAGAGTGATGTTTACATCTGCTCTTGGTCGCCATGTAGATGTACCATGGAGATATAAACAAGTTTTGGAACAATATTTAATATGCTCTATACGAACTTAATGTTAAAATGATGCTCGAAAAATTCAAGCAGCTCTCACATAATATGAACTTGAAGTTACATTTTCTTCATTCACATTTTAATATTTTACTCGTACTTAGAAACTTAGAACAACGATAATAATAATAACAATGATTTCATCGGGATATAAAAGAGATGGAAATTAGGTAGCAGGGTCGATGCAGTGGCATAAGTTCAACAGGGGAGGCCCTTGGGCCAACTATATACGGGGACCCCCCAATTAAAGACAGTTAATTAATTTAATTTTATGATTATAAACCAATACCTAAGAAAGTAGGGACCTTTGGGGAGCAGACTATAAATAATAATGGTATACAAGATACAAGAGTTTATAGAGGCAAAGATATATACCAAGATCACTATTTTGTTGTCTCAACTATTAAATTACTAAGTAAATGGAAAAACCTAAGCACCAAAAATAAAAACAATGTAAAAGAAGGTTTTAAAGTATATCTGCTACAAGAAGAGAGTATTAAAAAGCTATATCAACAGAGACTAGATAATTACTTAGCAAATATATCAACAAGCAATAAAGTAGAGAAATAATGGAAAAATATTAAAACCTGCAAGGAAAAGTTAGCTTTTGAATGCCTAGGAAAGAAAAAGAAGTTCAGGAAAAAGAATGGACTCAAGAGTATGGAATGAACAACTTAAAGAAGCGGTGGCAGAGAAAAAGAAATCGTACTTGAAACATCTTCAAACACACAACGAAGAAACTAAAAAAGAATATAACTGCTGTAGAAATGAAGTCAAAGGGCTATCTCGTATAGCACATCAGGAGGTGTGGGATCACTTCATAAATAAAATAGAAAATTAAATTCATGGGAAGCTAATTGTAGTCTATAAAGTAATGTGACAACTCAAACAAAACGAAAAAGATACCATTCAACTGAAAGTTATAGATGAAGAGAAATGGCTACAACACTATAATAATTTATATATTATATCATTTATAACATATTATCAGAAGAACAAAATGGCTTCAGAAAAGGAGGATCCTGCACAGATAATTTTTTTTTATTACACCAAACAATAGAGAAAAAAAGAGAGTTTAATTTAGACTTGCACATTGCATTCATTGATTTTGAAAACTCCTTTGACTATGTAAACAGGAGAAGATTATGGGCCATAAGAGATAGAAGAAGCTTTCCAAAACATTTAATAAACCTAGCTAAAAGTCTATATAAAAATACAAAGATCCTAATAAAAATAAATTCACATCAATCACAACCATTAAAAATTAATAACCATCAAAGGATTAAAACAAGGTTGCAGCCTTTCCTCAATATTACTTAACATCTATATAGACGAAATTCCTAGAGAATGGAAATTAAATGTCAAAAAAGGTATCAGATTGAATGAAAATAATTATATCAATACTCCAGTATTTGCTGATGACCAAGTTATTATGTTTGAAAAGGAAAATGATCTCCAAATGGCACTCCATCAATGAAATCTAATGTGTAAAAATTATAACATGAAAATATCTAACCAAAAAATGAAGGTCGTGATTTTTAAAGGAGTTTATTCAATTAGAACAAAGATATGCCTGGAAAACCAAACAATAGAACAAGTATCACATTTCAATTATCTTGGATGTGATATGTTACGACAGCCAAGATATAAAAAATAAATTGCATGTAATGCATAAATTGCAAATAAAAATATATATGTGGCATGCTACACAGAACATTAAGAAATAAGACTAGAAAAAATACAATGTTAAAATTCTATAAAACAATGGCAAAACCAGTAGTCCTATACGGGAGTGAAAATTAGATTCTCTCTCCAAGAGAAAAAATAAACATTGAAGCTACACAGATGAAATTTTTAAGAAAAGTAAAAGGTTGTACTTTGCTAGATAAACAAAGAAATGAAGACATAAGAAAAGAATTGAATATATTTAGTTATGATTGTATACAACTATGTAAACAACCCTGGAAAAACCATTTAGAAAGAATAGAGCAGAATAGGCTACCTAAACAAGTGCTGCAGTACAACCCAATAAGAAGAAGTAGTGCAGCCACCTAATCCTTTGAGTGCAGAAGAAGAAGATTATAAACTGAATTTGAGGAGTTAAAACATTACAATAAACTATTACAGAAAATAAATTATAATTTTTGCAATTTCATTACATAATTTAAAATTTTAATTTTGATAGTTTCTTTGCAATCACAAATGTATCAATAACACTTGAAATATTATTTTTAACCAGATCGTTTTTTCATGCTAAGTTGATAAAATACTTAATTTATTCAAACAGTCTTGTGCCATTGTACTTCGTAAATAATTTTCAATAATTTTCAATTTGGAAACTTTCTTTCAGCGAGTGTGACAGGAAGTGTCAAAAATAATGTCAATACTGAACACACGTCGGGACACTTAATAATAAGCAATGTTTAGTTAATAATTTGCTTGCAAGATCTTTAACAGATCTTAATTTTGAAATTTGACTTTTTAAACAAATACACACTGAGATGAAAAGTTCTTCGTAATATCTGCCGGGTATTCTGATTGAAGTTTTTGTGCTTCTTTGTAAATTTCATCACCTGAAAGCTATCAAAACTTGTGGCTGAATCACTTTGAAAATTGCCATTTTTCAACCAAACAAATAGTCTCTCCAATTGGTTAATGGCAATATTCAGTTCTCTGTAGTAAATATTATGTTTGTATTTTTACTGGCCATCAGTGAGTCATGGGTACTAACAAAGTTCGTCAAAATGTCATTTAGTTTTGTTCACTCATTTATGGTTAAATTTGACTTCTACTTTCCAGGCTGGATAATTCTATTTGAATCATTTTTCAAATCTTCATAGTGATTTCGAACAGTCTTCAATTCTTCTTAAGCTCCATCACATAAATTCTGTGCTGGCTGCAATCCAAACCAGCGCTTTGAAGGAATTTAGAAACATTGTTGGTTGAAAATAATAGTAATTTTGGAATGCAGTACATGGAAAACCAATTCAAAATGTTCCATTTCTTTTTTCAAGTTACGTGCTTGATTCGTTTCAGACATTTTGTTAGAAAATTTGTTTTTGGTTAAAGCATTCAAAATATTAAAATGTCATATAGCTATTAAGGAATCATGATTACCAACTTGTAAGTCAGAGTCATTTTAATGTAAGATTATTTCACTTGTTCTCTGAAGCCATCACATTTGATAATATGTTCCACTGAGTATTGCTGGCTAAAAAAACATAATTTTCTTCTAGAAAACAGTAAAATATCTGAACTTTTAATAACCCATTTATGGCATCACTAAGCACAAAATTTGAATTATGAGCAGCACAGTGCACAAACAATACATTATCAATTTCTTCCACTTTTTACAAACACATTGATAATTCTACTCTCACTCATAACTGCTCTGCCATTATCTTCTTGACTTTTACATTTACATTAATCAATGCCTAGTTATTTTATGCTCTCGACAATATTGAAATGCAAACCAACCCAACCCAACCCAACCCAACCCTCTGCGCTGAGTGATTTGTAACTTTATTAAATCCAATGAAAGATTCACTAATTTTTATTTTTATCAGTTTGAAAAATTCATTTTTCTCCATAAATATTGTAAAATTGGACTTAATTGGTCAACTTTTGATATGTCTTGCCTTGTGTCCATTTATTATAACTAATAAACTAATGAAGCTAAACAATACATACTTTCTCGCATTATTTCTAAATTTTCAATTTTCTAAAATTCATAGAATTCAACGAAAATGAGACCTGCGCCGTTCTTTAAATTATTAGAAAATTAATTTTAAAAAATGTAAAGGAAAAAATTAAAGTTATTTTTCAGAAAATAATTTTTTGTAGAAATTACATAAATTTCAAACACAAATCAGGCGAAAACTACTCGTTTTTTCTCATGACCCTTTTTAAAGAGCTTATTTTTAGAACAGACTTTGTTTAAAGCAAAAATCGTTATCACAAATTTTATAGTTTTGAAATTTTAACTTTTCGCAATTTTCGAAATTACAGAGAGTTCACCGATAATGGAACAAGCACCATATTTTTTATCGCCCTTTGATACATACGAGGAGAAAACTGAAAGAAAAAATGGAGCGGTTTTTAAGACAAAAATATTTGAAATAGATTTAAACTGCCTATATTTCGCGCAAAATTACACGAAAAATACTTTTTTTTTTTTTTTGAAAAAATTAAGCAAGGCCTATTTTGCAAAATCTGTCTCTAAAGAACAGATTTCATTGAGGAAACAAATCTATATCTTCAATATTATAGTTGGAGGAAGACGCCCAAAAAAACTGCACTTCTGCAATAATAAAAAAAATTGGGTATCAACGAACAAGACACCTGCATTTAAGCTTCCTTTCACTTGCGTTGCTGTTAAGCGTCCATTATGTGATCCGAGAACAAAGTTTAATCAAAACATTAGGAGCCATTTTTGAGCAAAATTTGAAAATCTTTTTGAGGTAAAGTATTCTTAAATATCAAAGTATCCAATTGGAATTCCCAAAGCCTCTAGTTCGTTCATATAATCGAGGAATATTAATTTTGGAGAAAATCTACTGAACGGTTTAGGCTCTAGCGATGGCATATAGACGGACGGACAGACGTTTTGCCGTCAATCGATTTTTCGATATCAAGGACACAAAACATCGATTCTGGCTACTCCACGTGTTAGAGGTAATTGTCTATATATAGAAATATAATTTATTCACTTTTTCGTTACCAGGGCCCGGCAATAAAAGTTTTTCTGCCGGAAAGTCGGCAGTTTTTGGTGCACGATCACACACTTGTGCGAGAAAGTAAAAACGGCGCGTCATTTATTTCGTCCATGATTTGATCAGCCTCAGCTTTAGCTAAGACTTATTATTTCGTGTTGAATTTGGGACGGGGCCTCCGGACATGGTTCTGTGAGTCCCTACGGAACTTACGCCGCTGGGTCGATGAGATGTCTCCATGATGGCTGACTAAACTGTTGCTGTTAAATAAGTGATAACGCTCGTATGAACCATAAATGTCTATAAACGCAGCAATCGTTTTTATCGAAACGGACGAGAAAATATTTTCCTACGTAAGTTTGAAATTTCACTATTCGTTTTCAAACTCATGAGTACTATTAATATTTTATCATGTGAAAAACTAAGTGATACGTGATACGCAAAATTGGAAAGCAGATTTCAATTCAGCGCACTCAAAGTAGGTTTGGACACGTGTTCAACCCTGAGCTCCAGAATAAATATCGCATGCCTGATATCAATTTCAGAATTAATTATTCTGAGAATTATCATTATATTGGAATGTTTGGGAGGAGGAAGTAAAACACATGTATTAAAAGTATGAGAGTTGCTTTATTTCTCAACTTAAAATGTGAATGTTATTAGTTTCAGTTATGGAAACAGGATAACAAATTAACATAATTTAAATTTGTTCAAATTCAATAGGAAATCATTTTTATTTTATATCGACCACTAGTTGTTTGCATCATGTTGTGTTACACATCTGACCTAGCACATAACAAGCGCTGGAGGCAACCATGAGCATAATGGACAACTCCATTGCATACGACCAGTGTGTGACACTCACGATAAGTAGACAGTCAATAAAGATTAAAAATGTATGCGGTAAGTTGAAAAGGTTCAATGTCAATTTCATTTAACAATTATTTGCTTGAGGATGATGAGGAGACAGCATTTAACGAAGTTAAAGTATCAGCAATGCTGCTCGAAATAGAAGGTTTAAAGGTGATATAATATCTGTTGTTCTCCATTTTGGAATCGTCTAAGTTTTCAAAGTCATCAAAAGAAAGGGGAGTGAGTGTCCTGCAGCGATAATTCTCATAATGCACTTCGGTTGCTTCTTTGAGATTGCACAAGTGGATTTGCAGCAAAACCTTCCTTAATAGAGAGAAATCATTGTGCTCCAGTGTCTCGACCTCGGCGATTCCCCATGGGTACCTGCGAGCCATCATCTTCCGGCCGTATTCATGCAACTCTGAGTTGAATCCCACGACGGCAAACGGGAGTCGCTCTTTGAGCGCTCTCAGCTGTTCTTCTTGAGGGTTCACCTCCGGAAAATCATAGACGTCAATTTGCTGTTCCGCAATTTCTCGGAGGAGTCGCCTTTTGAATCGATAGCATTCATAAGTACTCATCGTATCGGCTTTCGCAATGACCGGTATGACGTTGACTCTATCTTGAAGCTCCTTCATGCATTCGACATCGAAGGGCTGCAAGTCGTGGCCGGTGGGTTCGATGAAGTACAGGCAGCAATGAATCCTACGATCGGAGCGAGACCTCGTGTGGGCGTCTGTGTCTTGGTTGAAGTAGTCGCAGTAGCAGTCGTCGATGTAGGCGAGGATGTCGGCGAAGCGCCTGGCGTGGTCGGCGGCGTCGCCGAGGCCCGGCGTGTCGACCAGCGTGAGGTGCAGCGGGCGGCCGGCCGCCTCCGCCAGCACGTGGCTGCTCCGCACCTGCACCGTCCGCTTCGTGCGCGGAAACAGCCCCGGATAGCGCTCCGAGAACTCCTCGTGGGCGAACATGGCGTGCAGCAGCGTGGATTTGCCCAGCCCGTTGCCGCCGACCGCCATCACGTTGAAGACGACGGGCTCAGGCGGGGGCGGCGGCGATTGGGGCGCGGCGGCCGCGGAGCGCCGGCCGCGGCCCAGCGAGCACTGCACGTCGCGCCCGGTGGCGGCGCGCACGGACGCGGCCAGTTCGGCGGCGGCGAGCGCGGCGGCGGTGGGCGCCAAGAAGGCGGGGCAGCTGCCTCGCGCGAAGACAGGCTTGAAGGTGGTGTCCGAGTAGGGCAGGCCCAGTGCGATGATGGCGGCGGCGGCCCGCGCGCGGGTGGCGGTGCAGGCGGCGGTGGTGGGCAGCGGGGCTTCGTCCTGAGCAAAGACGTGTAGCAATGATGACATGGGTCTATACGTGTACGAGCAGCCAATTTCAAACATAAATAACTACTCATGGCTTGACGTTTGGTATTTAGCAGCTGAGTTAACTACAGTGCGCCAGGAAAGTCTCTCCGCAACGGCATCGGTGGCTGGTGAGAGTGCTAGCGTGAGAAATAATGTTGATAGCACGAGTTGCAGCTTGTAACAAACGAAAACGTAAATTGCGTACTTACTACAATCATAACAGATTATGGAAATGTTGCCTCCTTCACTTGTTTTCCAGTGATTTTGTTGCTACGAACATAATTGCAATTTTTAATAAGAGCCCCTGATTCGGCTCGGTGCGGACACACTTTTCTGGGGCACGTTATAACTTCGGTACTTACAATCAACAATAACCGCCAATCCCTGAATACTTATTTAATTTACCTCAATTCAAAAGCCGGTTTAGTTATGTGATTTTGTAACAACAAAAAAAAAATTATCACGAGGCAAAAAAATAACGGAAACAGTTGTGAAATAAAACAAAACAGGTTTTCCGTGCTAAAGGCTAGAGTTTTCCCATCCCTACCTGGTTG